ACCACATGGTTTATGAAAAAAGACAAAAAGGATTATTTTAAAAACGACTTCTGTATACGAAAATTTAACAATGACGAGGTCGCTTGTGTCTGGAAAAAACATTACTTTGACTTGTTATATTTATTCATTCGAGGAAATTTCGTCATCAGCACTGGAATCTTATTGTGTGGGGATATATATATGGCAGATTGTGTTGTGTATCTGACTAGTCTTTTGAGAACTACTCTGACGACAGGTAGCGGGTAATTCAGGTATGTTAATGTGTGTGTCACCCGTTACTATAGATGACAGAAGCTTAGCTCTGTATAGAGCGAGATCGAGATGTAAGGTAAAATGGCAACACTCTTATCGTTTCTAAAATTTCCTGCCAAGCAGTTTGTACACTACGTTAATGATAATCCAATCTTTAGGTGGAAGTGAATGCGCTGATGCTTTGTTATAAAAATAGAATAAGATTTTATCAGAACCTAGTAGATATTTTTTTCTGTTCTTCCAAAGAACTCCATAAAGGCAAGACTTATTTCAATGCTCATCTTGTTCACGAGATTTGCTGCAAAATAATCAAGGGTAGCAACAGCACACAATTATTATCATTTATAGATCAGTGTAAACACCGAGAAAGTTGGAAAGCTAGACAAAAGGATACGTCGTGCTAATAGAGAACAGGACAGTGTAGGAAATAAGCATTGATGGTCCTTGAAATTTATTGATCAGCCTAGAAACCAATGATGTTGGGTCAGTTGTAGTTTTAATCATTAAATGTTAATATTCTGAACAGTGAACTTTAACTATTTAACAACAGTAAATAATTAATTTTTTCAAGGCAGGGTTTTTCGTCCCCTTTTCTTTTATAAATGTATAATCACGTTTATGTAAATGTTTTTGTAACCTTTAAAATAGATTGTTGTTTGTATATGTACAGTATACAGATGTCGGTTAGTATTGCATTTTTTCATGGTAAAAATAGTAACCGGAACTGATAGCAAACATTTCACCGCTTCGTTAAGCTTAAGACTCGCAAGGACGACATCGTCTTTGAAGAGATGTAATTGATATACACTAAGGTTGTGATCATGTTCTTCTAACAATAGACACAATCTCGGGAGCAGTAACGCTATGCTGTAGTAGTCATACAACGCACTAGTCACACTATAGTGGTATAGATACCTCAATGATGTTACATGAAGGAGCATAGATTTGTTATCAGATAACACCACATCGCCGCCCATCTACCAAGAGATACACACACACAATAAATAAGCATAAATGATCTGCATAGTTCACCATTAAAGACGACACGTTTCAATTTTCCAGATAAATTCGTTAAACTAAGTGCCTTAATAGCTAAACTCGTTTAACTACGTGCCTGAATGGTCAAACGCCTTTGAATAAGTGACCACATGAGTAAGCTCGCTAAACTCTGTGTCTAAATAACTGAACTCGTTTAACAAGGTGCCAAGATGAGCAAACTCATTTAATTAGGTGCCTAGATGACTAAATGCATCTAATTATGTGTGTGGATGACTAAACGCGTTTAACCATGTGCCTAGATGATTGAACTATTTTACTATGTGCCTAGATAATTGAACTATTTAACTATGTAGAACTATTTAACTATGTGTCTAGATGATTGAACTATTTAACTATGTGTCTAGATGATTGAACTATTTAACTATGTAGAACTATTTAACTATGTGTCTAGATGATTGAACTATTTAACTATGTGCCTAGATGATTGAACTATTTAACTATGTGCCTAGATGATTGAACTATTTAACTATGTGCCTAGATGATTGAACTATTTAACTATGTGTCTAGATGATTGAACTATTTAACTATGTGTCTAGATGATTGAACTATTTAACTATGTAGAACTATTTAACTATGTGTCTAGATGATTGAACTATTTAACTATGTACCCAGATGATTGAACTATTTATCTATGTACCTAGATGATTGAACTATTTAACTATGTGTCTAGATGATTGAACTATTTAACTATGTAGAACTATTTAACTATGTACCTAGATGATTGAACTATTTAACTATGTGTCTAGATGATTGAACTATTTAACTATGTACCTAGATGATTGAACTATTTAACTATATGTCTAGATGATTGAACTATTTAACTATGTAGAACTATTTAACTATGTGCCTAGATGATTGAACTATTTAACTATGTGCCTAGATGATTGAACTATTTAACTATGTGCCTAGATGATTGAACTATTTAACTATGTAGAACTATTTAACTATGTGCCTAGATGATTGAACTATTTAACTGTGTGCCTAGATGATTGAACTATTTAACTATGTGCCTAGATGATTGAACTATTTAACTATGTGCCTAGATGATTGAACTATTTAACTATGTGCCTAGATGATTGAACTATTTAACTATGTGCCTAGATGATTGAACTATTTAACTATGTAGTCTAGACTATTTAACTATGTGTCTAGATGATTGAACTATTTAACTATGTGCCTAGATGATTGAACTATTTAACTATGTGCCTAGATGATTGAACTATTTAACTATGTGTCTAGATGATTGAACTATTTAACTATGTGCCTAGATGATTGAACTATTTAACTATGTGTCTAGATGATTGAACTATTTTACTATGTGCCTAGATGATTGAACTATTTAACTATGTGCCTAGATGATTGAACTATTTAACTATGTGCCTATGTGCCTAGATGATTGAACTATTTAACTATGTGCCTAGATGATTGAACTATTTAACTATGTGCCTAGATGATTGAACTATTTAACTATGTGCCTAGATGAGATGTGATTGAACTATTTAACTATGTGCCTAGATGATGATTGAACTATTTAACTATGTGCCTAGATGATTGAACTATTTAACTATGTGCCTAGATGATTGAACTATTTAACTATGTGCCTAGATGATTGAACTATTTAACTATGTGTCTAGATGATTGAACTATTTAACTATGTGCCTAGATGATTGAACTATTTAACTATGTGCCTAGATGATTGAACTATTTAACTATGTGTGCCTAGATGATTGAACTATTTAACTATGTGCCTAGATGATTGAACTATTTTACAATGTGCCTAGATGATTGAACTATTTAACTGTGTGCCTAGATGATTGAACTATTTAACTATGTGATTGAACTATTTAACTATGATGATTGAACTATTTAACTACTAGATGTGAACTATTTAACTAGATGATTGAACTATTTAACTATGTGCATAGATGATTGAACTATTTAACTATGTACCTAGATGATTGAACTATTTAACTATGTACCTAGATGATTGAACTATTTAACTGTGTGCCTAGATGATTGAACTATTTTACGATGTGCCTAGATGATTGAACTATTTAACTATGTGCCTAGATGATTGAACTATTTAACTATGTACCAAGATGATTGAACTACTTAACTATGTGCCTAGATGATTGAACTATTTAACTGTGTGCCTAGATGATTGAACTATTTTACGATGTGTCTAGATGATTGAACTATTTAACTATGTGTCTAGATGATTGAACTATTTAACTGTGTGCCTAGATGATTGAACTATTTAACTATGTACCTAGATGATTGAACTATTTAACTATGTGTCTAGATGATTGAACTATTTAACTATGTGCCTAGATGATTGAACTATTTTACGATGTGTCTAGATGATTGAACTATTTAACTGTGTGCCTAGATGATTGAACTATTTTACTATGTGCCTAGATGATTGAACTATTTAACTATGTGCCTAGATGATTGAACTATTTAACTATGTGCCTAGATGATTGAACTATTTAACTATGTGCCTAGATGAGTAAACTCACCATGCCATGGTACTACATGGTATTTCTAGTCGTGCTACGTGTTTAGATGATATCGGTCTTCATTCTATGTGTCTACATTATGTCACCTGTCATAGTTTGTGTCTAGATAGTATTACTCGTCAATTTATGTGTCTACATGATGTCACCTGTCATATTTTGTATCTAGATATTTTCAGTTATACCATGTGTCTAGACGGTATAACTAGATATACTATGTGTCTACATAAGTCGTCATACCGTAGAAGTGACATTCAGAATCGATCAAGCACACTTATTAGAAGCTTAATTGTAAACTAAAATTAATATTTTGAACTGAGTTTACTGTTGTCAGTATGTAGAGCTTCGCGCGAATAAATCAAATATGCCCAGTGGGTTAATCAACTCCCACATATTTTGCAGTCATATTTGGATTGTTTCTCGTGTATCCAACGTACGTATGTACTTGTGTTTAGTCGACGATTCCTTCTCTGCCAGTTTAGATAAAATGGAACTCCAATTTCTTGTATTTCTTCAAAAGAAAAATCCATTACTGAAAGTGCGATGTAGTATTAAATGTTATACGGCTTTTCACAAACAATGTAATGATATAGAACAAGTATGCGATCTTAAACTATCCTCTAAACTACAGGGAGATATGACGACGAAATCGCAAGTGGTTGCTTTCATCAAAATAAGTAACTACCACACAGTCAGAAATAACTCTGGTTAATTTATACTACACGCACCGAGACATTCCGAATGTTCATCACAGTGTGAAGTCAGAATTGGAGTTAAGAACTGTAAATAAATATATCGACATAACTTCTGGTGATTTACCGAAAAATGCATGGAAAGTGATGTGTGATGTATGTAACAGGTTAAGAAATCAGAAAAACAAGTGACACACCCACTCTGATGAATAACTGTTTATGTAACTGACTCGAATTTGCTATATCCGAAACTTATGCCTTCGATTTCGACCACTGGTTGTAAATGAGAGTAAATTCTAATCTGAAATAGCAACCAATAGTTCTACGACAGTTAGACAATTTTACAATAATACAGTGAATAGTGGAAATAGTTAAAATACACTATATAACCTGTAGTTGACTATGTATATATCACTTGTCAATATCTTTTTGTTTTCTTTAATTTTCTTTAAGACATTCCTCCCTTAATGCAGCGATAAATATGGGGAACAAGCCGAGTTCTCTGAGACCAAAGACGTTGAAGGAGTTGCGAGAATTCTTATCAGAAGAGTACACGAATGACGTGATAAAGACTTGGTATGAAGAATACAAATCGTCCCTGACAAAAGGTGAATCAAGTCTCACCAGGGATGCATTCATCAAAGTATACAGTAACCTGTTTGAAGGCGAGGCGTCCAATTTCGCTGCCGAAGTGTTCCGTGTGTTTGACTCCGACGGCAATGGAGTTGTAGACTTTAAAGAATTTATGTTCGGTATCTACGTCTCTGGCTGCTCGATGAACGAGGATATGAAGCTAGATTGGGCGTTTAGGATGTATGACAGGAATGGAGATGGCTTCATCAGCAAAGAAGAGATGACATACATGTTCAAGGTAAATATAGACACAGAACTCAGCTTATAGTTCATTGTATGCTTGTCAGTAAAATTGACCTGATGGAAAGTTGATATCTTATTGTAGTTTTCAGTTTTGGGCAATCAGAACAGAGCTCTCTTTTCGCTGTATCAAAAATCGCAGAATTTCTGTTCGAAGGTAAATGAAAAAAAAGGCTTATTTGTTATACACTGAGTACGATCGTGAAAGCACATAAGGAAAGACAACCTCCATTCTTTGGAATCAAAGAATGTATTTCATCCAACATCCATTATCACAGTTGTCGTGCAAGAAGGTGTTAACTGACAGATGAATTCAGGAAGACGTAACATTTTCTGTCAAAGTTCCTATATATTTCTGAGGGCCAGTCCGTAACGAAAACGATGATTGTTTTCCTTCGTTTTTGTGAATATTATAGGGCGGTGAGCTTAAATGATATATCACTTAAAAGCGGATGTTATTGACATATCTCACTGACAATAAAAATATAACTGCTTAGATATTTCTATATGAGCAAAATATCACAGCAAACCCTGCTTCGATGCCGAATTCAACAGTTCGTTCAACTTTGCGATGGGTTAACAAGTATTTATGACCGTGACAAGACCATACAAATATTGTTATACAAATCCCGAGTATTTCTGAGTTTCACGAGGTACTTGTCACGGTCAGGCTGTATTCATAAACCAGTGACTTCGTAGCTTAAAGAGAACACCTACCTTTCGTGGCCCTCTAGGTCTGCCATCTTAAAGACCATTCCTTAACAGGTACATGACAGTGAGTCGACAGTTACTCTCTCTGAAACCTCCGTGTAAATCCACACATATATATATATTACCGTAGTTTAATTGAATTTGAATTCGGCTTATGATTGTGTTGACATGTTGGTATGTTCTTGTTGTTTTTTTATTGACAGAAACGATGCACAAAAATAAACTATAGCTGGCATACTACCGACTGTAAGCCGTGTCGTTATATATTGATAGGATTATACATACAATTTATTTGTTAACAATTTAAGCTTTTATTTGTTGACTCTTTAAATGGCCTCCTTCCTATGACCACGAAATATATCAATCAACACTGCATAGGGTGAGTGCACTCTGGCGTGCTGTAAACGATCGCCAACATATCCTATTCTTTTACGTGGGTTTAATTACGGACTTTTGAGATATAATTGTTCCATCATACGTGTGGGTTAAAACGACCGAACCACGTAGTTGGTAAACAATTAATTTGTGTTGAAAAGTGTCGAAGCGTTTCTTATCAGTGTTTCTTTTTGTCCAATCCTTTTTCACATTGGTATGTCATTTTGTCTACCTTTTGCATTTGCAGGCAATTTATCGTATGACAAAGCCTCCATCGACTCACTCCACACCGGAAAAATTAACCGACTATTTCTTCGAATGTTTCGACAAGAACAAGGACGACCAAATCAGCGATGCAGAATTCATTGCCGAAGCAAAGAAAAACAGGCTGATTGTTGATATGTTGGAGATCGATCCATGTGGCTAACCGTCAGTATGACCGAACAGAGATTGGTGTGGTGATTAGTCATTGTGATCAGCGGCATAGGTGAATCAAAAGATGAAACATAAAAACAGATGTACATGCATTGTGAATTTTGTTAAATGATATTGTACTGGAGCCAAATAATGGCAACTGGTATTATTATATAACTATAAAGGATCGTCCAAACAGCGGACAACATTAAACGACAGTCGTAAACGACAAGTTAAGCTTGGTTTAATGTCATTTTAAAAATATTTAAAAAAAAAATCATATTACATAACAAAACCAAATACATGATTGTGAACTGACACGGAGCGTTATTTTCACAAGAACACACACTTGGGGAAGTATTAATTTACCGAGACCATATTATCGTGTTATTTCCCTGTTGGGCTCCATCAAAGAATCAACATCTTCAGGTTGTTTTTTATTATACTGCGTTTCAGTTTTAGCTGATAAAAATAAGTTGTAACGGAAAGTTAGTATTTTACACAGCAGAAAAAAACTGTAACATGCTGACAAATGTAGAAACGAAATGTTGATCCCCAAAGATGTTTCTATTGCAGTATAATTTGTTGACCAATATTGCTAACAGAACTTTTTTGCAGACGATATTAATTCCTTTTTGACATATCTATGCTATACGCTGAAATATGTTAAGACATAATTCAGCTTATATGTCGACATACCTTATAACAGAAGTGTTAACATGTTTACATATACTGTAGATATACACTTACTTTCAGTTTCCTTAATTTATGTTTCAGTAACTTGCTTAATTTTAAGATTCAATTTGACGTAACACTGTTTGCCAGCAAGCCAATGTGAAAAATCATTCAAAACCACCATGAAACCCTGTCATTTAAAAAAAAAATACATGTCTCGTACAGCGATAAAGGGTACAATATGTTAGGATTCAGTCGACGTTTGAAGTTGTTTTTATTCCATTATAACTCCTATAAATCTAACACTCGTTATTGCGTTTGTAAATAACCATTATGCCATTGACACATCATACCGTTTGCTTCAATGCTGATTGATTGTTCAATAAACTGCAGCAATAAAGTCATAAACACCGTTTTGTTTTATGTTGTGGTGGATTTTCGAAATGGTGTGTGTCTTCTGCTTCATCGACTACATCTTCGATGTAAATCTTGGTGAAATCAGGCTTAATTGATTACCATTTTCATAACAACAAATCATGCATTCGAACAAATACCGAAAAAATGTGACAGATCTCAATTGGATCATGATAGCGACGATAAAATGAACACCAAGTCTTCATCCACCTGCACGTCTCAAAACCCTGTGTTGTAGGGTTAGCTGATAGTTTGACGTGAAAAGACTGGCCCAAACGTCAAGGAATACACTAGTGTCTTAGACGAAGTTATTTCCCTTCAGTCAACCCCAATATTTCAAGCAGGGATCATAGTAATAAACATAGTAATTACTGTCCCGTAAACTGATGCTTGAAAATGGAAATAATGAATGAATTATTGAACAGCAGAATGGCACTCAGAACATATAGGTAAAACTAAAGAACTTTTAAAAAAAAAACCCAATAAATTAATGATTATTTCAAATGTTTTTTAATAACACATTTTCTCTAAATTACAAATTCACTCTTAAATATTACAAATAACACGATGCTGTAGAAACACACATTAGAGGCGATATTTAGTAACATATCACATTATAATTTATGAATAATTTTCGTTCAAATCGTGGAATATATTGGTTTTCGTATCAGATCAATGAAATATCATAAAAATAATATTATAAGAATATAAAGACCATAAAAATGAATAATTTAAAAATGAAATTTACGTAAATCATTCGATTGCTTTCATATTGAAAACTAATCAGATTGTCCCATGCAGAAAAGATACTACTTGCGTTGTACATTATGATAGTTATTGCTTGTAATGTCACTTCAAATTCATCACAAATATATGACAGGGCAACCTAACCAAGGCCAGAGTGTGACACCTATTACTAGGTCATCGATATGTAGGCAAGTCAGTTGTTGTAGATACCAATTTGTTGATTATAATTACGTCTGCAACAGGTTCACTACATATAACGACATGTTTTGGACCTTAATTTCCCTTAATATCTACCAACACATTTAACATAACAAAGTTTACAAACATTTGAATAAGACTGACACAATAACTTTTCTGTGGTCATACTCTATCATGAATAACTTCCGTCACTGATATGTATTCTTTTCTTCTAGCTTGTGGTTTATCTACATGCATCTGTCGTTTTAATGTGAAATGATAATGGCAAGTGACGTCATCATAATGGGTGAAACATATAATTCTGAGAACACCACACATTCCATGTCCTCTCAATGGGACAAGTCACTGTTAGGAACATTTTGTTGTTGTTGTACATATACAATATAGGTCACGGAATAAAACAGAAACAGACAAGCAAGCTGAAATTTTCAATAGAATGAAATACAAAGAACCCTATTTAGCACGATATGTTCTGAACGCACACAGGGTCACTAATAGGAATTCTACCTAATGCTTCAAATACAATTACGACTAAACACTAATACAGTCTTAATAAAGCATACAGACAATAGAGATCACAGAGAACAAACACCATACACAATAAAGGTCAAACAGAGAACAAACAACGCATAGGGTTAATATGGACAGTTAAACAACACACAGGTGACATACAATAAGTCACACAGTATATAGAGGTCATACGGACACTTAAACAACACAAAGGTGACATACAGAACGTTACACAGTATATAGAGGTCATACGGACAGTTAAACAACACAAAGGTGACATACAGAACGTTACACAGTATATAGAGGTCATACGGACACTTAAACAACACAAAGATGACATACAGAACGTTACACAGTATATAGAGGTCATACGGACACTTAAACAACACAAAGGTGACATACAGAACGTTACACAGTATATAGTGGTCATACGGACACTTAAACAACACAAAGGTGACATACAGAAACGTTACACAGTATACAGAGGTCATATGGACACTTAAACAACACAAAGGTGACATACAGAACGTTACACAGTAAATAGAGGTCATATGGATACTTAAACAACACAAAGGTGACATACAGAACGTTACACAGTATATAGAGGTCATACGGACACTTAAACAACACAAAGGTGACATACAGATCGTTACACAGTATATAGAGGTCATATGGAGAATAAAAAAAATAATCAACTTTATATATCATCATATTACAAATCTTTCTAAAAGAGGAAATTTCTTACCTATATAAACCGTTAACTATACCACAGTATCTGATTTTAATTCATAAGTATTCGTCTGGTTTCAAAATACAAAGGAGTTAGCACAAACAAAAAACCGCATGATAAGATGAAGCAAATATTTCCACAAAAAATGATCACGACATAGAGAATATACTTATTGTGACCATGTCATAATTAAATGTCAGTTACGACTAGTAGACAATGTTAGTGAACAATATGTTTCAGTATAGCAAAATGATTTTAAATTTATAAAATAATAAACTACAGAATAAATGATACATATTATCAAATAAAAGCACCTGTAGAAATATCTTTTACTATAATATAATTTTATTTTTAAAAACTTCATATTTTGTAACGGATTTCATCGCCATGGTGACATTTTAAGCATTAAACTTGTAGCATTACAATACAATGCACAACTACTAAAATAATCAAAGGAAAAAATCCACTTTTTTAAATGTATGAAAATGTATGTTGTCTACAGTAATAAATATTGTCTAAACGATACTGTCCATAACGAGCGTCATTAAAGCGTCACCTTACCCTGAATTTGCTACACTGAAAACACACTAATGAGCGCAATTATAAGAAAAGATTTGGCATCAGAAAATGAAGTTTTATAACTATTGTGTTTTCCATTGTAAGTGTGAATAAACATCAAAGAGTAAAAGAATTTATAAAACCGGTTAATCAAATAAATGTTAATTTGTACATATGCGCAAAGAGTAAAATGGTACAGCGTTAGAATATTACATTGTTGGGAATTCTTTGTAAAAGATTTTTTTTATTTTACCATTGCTGACTAGAATTCATTTTTTTTCACTTTTATTTAATAAGATTACATCAAACTAATCAATTTAAGTAAAAATTTTGCATTTCAGCAAATTTCAATCAATTCAAAAATTATGGAATAATATGGATACCTGTACAATTTATATTTCAATTATCAAGTTTCTGTAATACATACTTGAAATTAAAATATCACAGGTGTAAGAACTCACAATAACAAAGTGAATTATGATCAGGAATTCAACATGTTAATATTTCATGAAAAGTCATTTATTGTGCAAACTATCATTTGGAACATCGTAAAATATATTTCTTATTTTGAAACATAAATTTCAAATTATCTCATTCACTAACGACTTCATTAACATCTTACAATACATACAATATATACTGTGGAAAACAATGGTGACGAAACGTTGACATAAAATGTTTTGACAAACCAAAGCAGGATTGACACATTTCTCACGTATATATATATAAGTGATAATTTAGGTATGCAGGTATCAAAACCAGGTTTTAACATCTATTTTCTAGAACATGAAATATAGGATGTATATAATCATACAAAAATATATCTTTTTTAATATTTTGGCGCCTATGCTATACATCAAGTTCACGAAGTTTACCGAGTTGATGTATATAAGTCAGAATCTTTTGGGTTATGAAAACAAGAATGAATAAATACTTAGTGTTTATGCTTTAGGTGAAAACAACCCCACAAAGGCAAATCGACCATTTTTGAAATTATATGAATAAAATACCGATAGTTTGTTTTAAATTTCATAATATCATTACATAACAGAGATCTCAGGGAAATTCTACCATCAACAATATAGGCGGAATGTCAAAACATGTTTACTACAGTAACGTGTATGTTTCCTCAACTGACAGCATGATGGTCATAAGTGATAAGCCCCAATGGCATGACTTGTCGTACATCAAACACCACATACTCCTCAGTCATCGTTCTTTCCTCTACCCCAGTGTCTTTAGCAGGTTTCAGACGGCCAGGTGTCTGCAAACATTCAGTGTGTATAGATTTTTTTTACCATGAATTTATTCATTGTGACCGACGCTCATTGTTTTACATACAATGAATGGATAACAAAGCACATAACATGAAAGAAAAAAAAGTGTGGACCCTGTTCACAGCAAATCTCTAATTGTTATAATTTATTTCATGGCATTAATCCATTTCAAAATTTATCTTCTTTTCAGTTCATAAGCAAAAATAGATAAAATACGAATATCAAAAAGAAGTTTTACGGCATGTTAAGACAACCATTTTTTTTCAAAATATCTTTTTTTTTTGTTTCACCTGGCCAAAAATTTGTGTTCCGGTGAAAATGTTTAGTAAGATGGGACATGATATATTTTTTGTGACCGATTAATCACATGGATAACTTACAATAATGGAGTCGTGACCAGGACTTGGTGACTTCCTTGTCCTGCAATGCCTGGTGACAGTCTCTATGTGTCCGAGTCCGACCTCCACCAGTAGAATTTTCCTTACCTGCGAGAGAGTGCTTCAATCAACAACTGACTACACGACATATCTTATTTATATTATCAGTGACTCAATAAACAACACTGAAAACAATGGCGCTTAAATAATAAACAAAGAAAATCAATATAATTCGGAAAGAATCGTAATATGATTGATTGTGTCATCTATAAACCCAGTCTTAGAAACTATTGGTGAGGTAGTTATCCATATCAAGAACCCTGCCAGGAATAATCAGAAAAATACTAATGTTTATACACAATACTTTGGAACTACACTTTACAAGTATGTTTTCATAGCTGAAAAGACACAATTTTTACATTATATACACTTACCCCAGAAAAATGTGCTGCCTTTGAAGGATACTTTGAAAAGTAAAGACCTCTTCCATATTCTCCATGTTGAAAATCTGTGAAATTTAATGTTAATAGTTACATCACCATCCCATCATATAAACTATTTGGAAAGAAAGAGGCATTTCAAATAACATCGTGATCATTATGATGTCGCAACTACTGCCATAGGGACAAGTAAAGTACACGGTCAAAAATGCTGTTTCGTTGAAATGATCCTGGTGTATGTAAAAAATAACTTAACTAGAAATTGATTGATAATCTGTTTTAGACTCACAGATGATAAAGACTTGTGTATCTAATAAGTGAGCTGTGTTTCCATGAAATTCAAATAGGCACAATGACGCTGAAAAGCTGTGTCATGTACGAAATAAGGAAGTGTCATACTCCATGCTTTAAAGTCCCAAGAAAAATAGATTCGGGAATGGTCATTGTCGATTCGAGAATTCGTGTGTCAAAAATTACCAATTTGAAGGAGTCGAGATAATGATTCGTTGTCACTTTGTTATTCGTTAATTAAGTCCAATTTACATTTTCCCAATATACAATAACATCTGTTAGTTGCTTTAGAAATCTGAGAAAATAACATCCGTTTGTTGTTTTAGAAGTTTGTGAAAATAAAATCTGTTTGTACCTTAAGAGGTGAAAATCTCACTCAGTTCAGGTAATAGATTTTTTCTCGTACCTACTACTCTGAAAATTATTCAATTTCGTATCCCGTGGGAGCCTCAAACTACCCACACGACCTCCTTCACTTTTAAACAATGTTTGGATGTTGCAGCGTAAAAAATGTAGGTCGCACTTACAAAAAATACAACACATTTCAAGAGTGTGGGGTCGCATTTTCTATTTCATTTTAAATAGGATTAGTTAAATAGAATATCGGTGAATTTATTTTTAACAACGACATAGGCCACGTTTTTGTTGAAATGTATGATTATAAGTGCCACCTACGCCTACACACGGATGAATACACCGATGTGTAAAAAAAAAAATCCGCGAAAACGCACAAAAGGGTACTAGACAGATCGATCGAGAGAGAGAAATATCTATAATGGGGTATAACGTGGGATATCCCTGTCTGAGGTGCGAGAAAAAATCAATCAGATGGATACAGTTGGAGTCAATTATTTAACCTAGACAATAACATGGACATGGTTAATTTTACAGGAGATTGTCTATATAAAACATGTTTTTAAACCAGCATGCTGTGTAAGCTCACCAGATTCAGTAAACCCATGTGTGAGAATGTCTGGGATCCGTTCTGGGTGTTCCAGTGTGCCACAGTAGTACAGATCAACAACTATAGAAGGGTCCACCAGAGTGCTCAGCTTGTTTTTGTAGTCCTCCATGTATTGTTCTGTCAGGGTGGCCTGTATCATAGAACAATGTATATCACTGGATATATCACACCAGTACAGCTTTTTTATGCCAGGGTTGTGTTTCGATATTTCAAATCTTCACGTCTGTAAAACGTATGAATTTTTCACGTCAGTCCTATTTTTAATTTACCTATTTTTTATGGCACACTGTACCTAAATTATGGGTTATAATGATATCAGGAGACGTCAAAAATTTTAATGAACCTTTTTATTCTGTATCAAAGGAGATATTAATGAACTGTTTTGTTTGACCTGTTCCAAAGGAGATCTTAATGAATCGTTTTTACCTGTATCAGAGGAAATATCAATGAACGGTTTTGTTTGGCCTGTATCAAAGGAGATATTAAAGAACTTTTCTGTTTGACCTGTATCTATTGTCAGTTACGTTTAAGAAATCACTTGAATCCCCCCTGTCATGAACACTGCAGTTATACTTCGTGTGACACTGCAAGTTTTTCTATAGAGAAATAAAATGCAGATTTTACCTTAGAAATTGTTGTGACTTCGTAATTGCTTTTTACGTCGGGGTCAAGCTTCATGGCTTTCTTAAACTGTTCAGTGACATCGTAGAAGAAAGCAGCATCTTTCATGTGGTCGTAAGGTTCCGGGGTATTTCGGATGTTGGAAGGTGGGAACGACACGTATTTACTGTCATCTGCATCAATACAACATTTTGAAAACTTTTGGTTAAGCTTAAAACTGTGTAGATGTATTCTGTTCACTCCACGATTACACAACTATTAGCTTTACCTAAGGTCACTCATACAGCAGATATTAATTTTCTTTCAACATACAAATGCAACAAACATATGTAAATCAATATGATTTGAAGCATAACAAGTACTACAACACAGTTATAGAATTATTTATAGGAAAAACCAAGTAAACTGACTAAGGTTCAAATTTCACAGGCTAGTAATTTCCCATCATAGATTGGGGATGCAGGAATGTTGCTATCCAGAAATGGAAAATTCACAATAGGGAAATTAAAATCATCACGTTATCATACATTATGGTGGAAAATATCTTATCTGTACTCATCATAACATAGGCTTATAAGTTTGATTGGGAAAATATAGGCAAGAACTAAAGGTCTAAAAATGTCAGTATTTCTTACTTACCAAATGTCATAAGTTTGCTGTTCTTTTCCGGGTTAGTCTCCAGTAAAGACTCCAGACGTTTCTTTTTAATGGTTAGATCCATGGTGTCAACCTGTTGTTGTAGCTCATTAATAAGATCTTCGGAGCTTATTTCAGAGCCATCGTCTAAAGATTAGACCAGACGAAAATCATAAGTTATGTACAATACAACATACTATTAAATGCTGATCCGTTTGAAACATCCACATGTAACGTTATGTGTGGTGTTCATAACATTTTCCATAAACAGTATTCTATGGCGAAAATTAAATCAAACAAGTCCTCAGGTCAGGAGCATAACCCATGTATATATCAAATGACAGTTCCAACATTCATTTAACACTTATACACAGCTCTCTTCAAACAGCAGTTCGTTTGTACCTTTACACACCTGTTGTAGAGGAAATCGGGGTATAGAGTGACAAAACAAACCATTAATGATTAACACATAATGTAGAAACAGGACAACATGACAAACAGAAGGAATACTTACAGATGAAAATCCAAATTACAATAAAACCTAGTTAGAAAATCGCATGTATTTTTTATCCTATTATCCACCTGCGCATCACAGACATCGCCGAGGAGTGCAACAGGTCAGTAGTACTGATATATCATTAGTGTCCCTGTCACCTTATTATCCATCGCCTTCTAACAACATCCATTAGCAGCAGCTTTTACCGGCATTATTGATTCGGTGGACTACATGCCTGCAGCGTTACACTTTTGTGTACAAATATATACATACATACATAGAGTGCTAAAAGACAAAACTAAACTGATATAGAAATGAGGTTTCATCTTCGGTGTGTACTTTCATAGGCAGACTTGCCTTACACCATGGTCATGACTATCACCAATGAGATTACACACACTGCGTGTTATTCATAGTTCACAAGATATCGCCTGTACAACAAATATGTGTATACCAATTATTTTACAATACAAACTGACACCATTTGTCACTAGGTGCTATCATGGAATATCTGATACAGAATTTTGACACAAGTCTTGAAACGTACACAATAAAATAAGTCAAACTATTATTTAGTTCAATGGACAAGAATGGCTGTCTTGTTTGTTACATAGCTGTAGTGCCGTCCAAACAAGTCAAATTACTTTTACTACAAATATTTTAAAGAACAATGATATTTGACATTAAACAACAACATCATGGAACATTAGATTGACAAATGATACCAAACCACTGTACATAATTGTGCAAAAGACACACAAATGAATATCACCTTTCAATAGAGATTTAGAATAAGACAAATAAAGACAGATAATGACCTAACTGCACCATACAGCTGGTTTGGCCCTCTAGGACTAGCCATTGATGCTTAAAGCCTAATTGAAACCTAGGAGGCAACGGAAGAAAGCCAAAATTGATTGAAAGCAATGTCAAGGTCTAGATTGGAAGGATCATAAATCCCATACAAAAAGGTTAACATAACTGATAACTTCAAAACGACTTCAATTTCATGTATATATCCTGAACCGTGACGCTATTCGAATGAGTGGCATCCAGGTTACGACAAACCTTGGGGACTTAAAGTCTACCAGTAGAGTCTATTACCTTTGGATTCAAGTCAACTTCAAGTGATTAAATGACACCAAACCACATTGAAAATGACCTTTAGATTGATAAAAGATACGAAAACATCACATTATTTCATATCAAAGCGATGAATATGATTTTGTATTTACCTGATAAAGTTCTCTCGTGTAAGAGTGAAGACGCTTTGGCTGTTGAGAACTTGTACCCAAGATATTCTTTCTCTGTAAATATATTGAAGGGAAACAATTTTGGTGTCCAATAAAGAGTGTTACATCGTACCAAAGATAATTCTAAACTGGAGATTGTATATAAATACTGTAAATTTCTGAAACAAAAATAAAATGTTGTCGCAGGTTAAAAATGTCAGTCTTTGTACGTATTGTGTTGAAAGCATTAGTCTATGTGTTGAATATGACAATTTTAGTTAACAATGCATTTTGGGACTCCACGGTTGTCATAATAAATATCATCATGGAAAACAGCTACATAATACCTTGTGATGATACACTAGTATTAAAATAAAGGAAACAGAATCGAAGCTAAAGACTAGAGAGGAACTACATTCACTCCAAAAAAAAAGACCTTAGAACCTTTAATCCCTGGTGTAATTATACCAACAACCCAGATTAAACCTAACTTGCTTTTGGGAAAGGTTTACCCTCCCCTCTCCTTTCAATAATAAGTTGGAGGTGTTTGATGATTGTTGGTTTGCATGGTGGTTTCGTTGGTTTTTTTACTTGTTCTCATTTGGGAATGAGACATTACTTATTTGGATTGAAAAAGATTTCTATGGCTGGTGTTATCGATAAAGCAGAAGATGATTTCTGTCGTTATTATCTTTGTTGTTATTATAATAAAACGATATCCTAAAATGTGCACCCACAACTACAAAATGTACCCAGGGTTTGATGTACAAAATTTTAGAAAAAGTCAAGATTCTTTTCAGTCAAGAAATTAATATAGCTCTTATTGTATGTCAGGAATAGATGTTCTCAGCTGAGGTGCTGTACAAGGTTTAGCAATACCGGATGTAAAGAGATATTCCAAGTATTAATTCAACCACAAAACATCTCAGATTACATAACCCTGTGTTTGTATATGTGTGTTTGTATTTATATGCATTACTTTTTTTTACATTTAAATCAAATTATCAACGCCCTTCTGTACTAGATTCTGTATAATAATTCAGTCCAGGACTTTAACACTGTACTGAACATGATTAGAGTAATACATGATTTCCTACAAGTAAATTATTCTTTAAACATACTGGTACAAGTAGCGGTATTATTTCTAGGGATCTGGATAGTAATCCTATCTGTGTTGGTGTTTATAGTGTTCTGTATAAACTTCAGGAGGAAAAGTTTTCATGTACATTAGGACCTTCAAATATGTAGTGGATTACTTCTAAATCAAAATGTGTGGGTGTTTACATCAGAACGTGTAGATGTTTACAACATAATGTGTGGGTGTTTACATCAGAATGTGTGGGTGTTTACATCAGAATGTGTGGGTGTTTACATTAGAATGTGTGGGTGTTTACATCAGAATGTGTGGGTGTTTACATCAGAATGTGTGGGTGTTTACATCCGAATGTGTGGGTGTTTACATCCGAATGTGTGGGTGTTTACATCAGAATGTGTGGTTGTTTATATCAGAATGTGTGGGTGTTTACATCAGAATGTGTAGGTGTTTACATCCGAATGTGTGGGTATTTACATCCGAATGTGTGTGTGTTTACATCCGAATGTGTGGGTGTTTACATCAGAAAGTGTGGGTGTTTACATCAGCATGTGTGGGTGTTTACATCGGAATGTGTGGGTATTTACATCAGAATGTGTGGGTATTTACATCAGCATGTGTGGGTGTTTACATCGGAATGTGTGGGTATTTACATCAGAATGTGTGGGTATTTACATCAGAATGTGTATGTGTTTACATCAGAATGTCTGGGTGTTTACATCAGAATGTCTGGGTGTTTACATCAGAATGTGTGGGTGTTTACATCGGAATGTGTGGGTATTTACATCAGAATGTGTGGATATTTACATCAGAATGTGTAGGTGTTTACATCAGAATGTCTGGGTGTTTACATCCGAATGTGTGTGTGTTTACATCAGAATGTGTAGGTGTTTACATCCGAATGTGTGGGTATTTACATCCGAATGTGTGTGTGTTTACATCCGAATGTGTGGGTGTTTACATCAGAAAGTGTGGGTGTTTACATCAGCATGTGTGGGTGTTTACATCGGAATGTGTGGGTATTTACATCAGAATGTGTGGGTATTTACATCAGAATGTGTAGGTGTTTACATCAGAATGTCTGGGTGTTTACATCAGAATGTGTGGGTATTTACATCAGAATGTGTGGGTATTTACATCAGAATGTGTAGGTGTTTACATCAGAATGTCTGGGTGTTTACATCCGAATGTGTGGGTATTTACATCAGAATGTGTGGGTGTTTACATCAGAATGTGTGGGTGTTTACATCAGAATGTCTGGGTGTTATGTTTGTCATCAATAAAGCAAAAAAGAATAAAATTAATAATAAGGACTGCCTTGTTATCATTGTGTAATACACTGGTGTGATATAATATTTAGGTAATGAAATGATGACACACCATAGATATCAAGCCAAATGGCCTCCATTTGGTGTATGATTTATGAAATTCATTGCATTTCGTTTTCGTTTTAGCTCCTATATGTATTAATAAATGCCTCAAATGCATGCAATATCTAAACATTTTTTTGTTGTTGTTGGTCAATCCACTCCTGTTCCAGAGCCTTGGTCCCCATACTCCTGTACCAGAGTCTTGGTCCCCAAACTCCTGTACCAGAGTCTTGGTCCCCAGACTCTTTTACCAGTGTCTTGGTCCCCAACGACTCTACATAAATCATTTTTCACTTGATTTCAAGTTTTCATGTAAAAAAGTGGTTTTTCTTAACTTATTTTGAAAATAAATAAATTAATTCAGAAACTGACTTACCTAAGTGTCTGTACAGTCCCCAAACACAACACTGTATTTACCTGTACCAATCATAACTTTTAATCCAATCACCTCACACTCAATACACTCCCTATATTTAATATACCTGAATAGCAGGATTGTGACCAAACTGTATCACAGCTGGAAACACACGGAGAACATGTCAAATTTCACATTACTGAAAATGTCTGTAGAGATTTAAATCTACATCCAAACATCTCCCAACACCTCAATGACCGCTGTTTTCACACTTGACATGGTCACATTCCATCAAAATAAATCGTTTTATTCTTACATGGCCACACATGAAAACATGATTTCATATGAAAACAGGGTGAAATCGCAATTATATCCTTGACCTGAATTTGTTTTCAACACTCCAACAGATACGTCCTATTTTATACATATTCCAAGCAAACACTGCTCATGTTTAAAGGAATTCTAATTTCAGTGGTGCCCTATATATACATATATAAAAACAACATTACCCTCCTTTTAATTACTGGAACCAAGTCCACCCTCACACCCTCAAAACGTATATGTGCTGCAAGATTATCATCTTATCATCTTAACACAAGCATAACAATGAGAACTCCAGGGTTACTATCCTCATAATTCACTGAAAATTTACTATCCTCACATTCATTCATACAAATTTACTATCCTCACATTCATTCATACAAATTTTCTATCCTCACATTCATTCATACAAATTTTCTATCCTCACATTCATTCATACAAATTTACTATCCTCACTTTCATTCATACAAATTTACTATCCTCACAGTCATTCGTACAATTTTTTTCCTCACAATTATCCATACAAACTTACTTTCGACACTAATTTTATTACAAGTTTATTTTCCACACAAAATTATTACAAATTTAGTATCCTAACAACCATCCGTCAAGTTTTCAACCCTCACTTTACTGCAGATTTACTATCCTTATTTACAGCTTGTGACACAAATTTACTATACCAAACTTTTCTTTTCTCACAGTACAGCAGGTAAATACAGTTTATTATCATTTTCAGTAAGCCGCCAAGTATACATTGCTGACATGTAAGTGTAAAGCTTTCTCTCAACATAACACAGACAGAGTATCAGAGGTCTATTATCCATCCATTCATATTTTAACACACATCCACCAAGGTAAATAAAATATTTAGATAAAGTTGTCAAAATAAGTCTTGTTTTATAAATAGGCTGGTGTTACACTCTCGCAGAGACACACAGCTGTGGTGGTGTAGGTGATCTAAGGGATATCACTACCTTCCAATTACTGGCGATAATGAGGACTTTGTCAATACTGATGTAATTGAGAAGGTTTCATGAAAGGAAAAAAGGTGTGTTTGGTAAATCTACATAGAGACAAGGACAGACTATTTTGTTTACCTGCCATTTTAGTCCTGATAATTAGGACATGTTCTGTGTGGTGCTTACATTACACTACATGCCTATACAAACATTGTATAATTATATCATTTCTGATATATCTCCTCACCAATTCTGAACAATATCAAATTTAAAACAAAAAAAACATTTACCAGTCCAAACCACTGACTCATTAAAAACCCCATGAGCATTAAATTCACACCAAAATGTCAATTCTAAAACAAACTTATCCTTACCATTATCATGTACTAGCTAGATAATTAAACCGACCTTACTGTTATCATTACAGTATTAACCTGTCCTTACTGTTATCACCAGAGTATTAACCTGTCCTTACTGTTATCACTAAAGTATTAACCTGTCCTTACTATTATCACTAAAGTATTAACCTGTCCTTACTGTTATCACCAGAGTATTAACCTGTCCTTACTATTATCACCAGAGTATTAACCTGTCCTTACTGTTATCACTAAAGTATTAACCTGTCCTTACTGTTATCACCAGAGTATTAACCTGTCCTTACTGTTATCACCAGAGTATTAACCTGTCCTTACTGTTATCACTAGAATATTAACCTGTCCTTACTGTTATCACTAGAGTATTAACCTGTCCTTACTGTTATCACTAGAGTATTAACCTGTCCTTACTGTTATCACTAGAGTATTAACCTGTCCTTACTGTTATCACCAGAGTATTAACCTGTCCTTACTGTTATCACTAAAGTATTAACCTGTCCTTACTGTTATCACTAGAATATTAACCTGTCCTTACTGTTATCACCAGAGTATTAACCTGTCCTTACTATTATCACCAGAGTATTAATCTGTCCTTACTGTTATCACTAGAGTATTAACCTGTCCTTACTGTTATAACTAGAGTATTAACCTGTCCTTACTGTTATCACTAGAATATTAACCTGTCCTTACTGTTATCACTAGAATATTAACCTGTCCTTACTGTTATCACTAGAATATTAACCTGTCCTTACTGTTATCACTAGAATATTAACCTGTCCTTACTGTTATCACCAGAGTATTAACCTGTCCTTACTGTTATCACTAGAATATTAACCTGTCCTTACTGTTATCACTAGAGTATTAACCTGTCATTACTGTTATCACTAGAGTATTAACCTGTCCTTACTGTTATCACCAGAGTATTAACCTGTCCTTACTGTTATCACTAGAGTATTAACCTGTCCTTACTGTTATCACCAGAGTATTAACCTGTCCTTACTGTTATCACTAGAATATTAACCTGTCCTACTGTTATCACCAGAGTATTAACCTGTCCTTACTGTTATCACTAGAATATTAACCTGTCCTTACTGTTATCACTAGAATATTAACCTGTCCTTACTGTTATCACTAGAATATTAACCTGTCCTTACTGTTATCACTAGAATATTAACCTGTCCTTACTGTTATCACAAGAATATTAACCTGTCCTTACTGTTATCACCTAGAACTATCCAGAGTATTAACCTGTCCTTACTGTTATCATAATTTAACTCCTGTTATCACTAGTATTAACCTGTCCTTATATCACCTATATAACCTGTCCTTACTATTATCACAGAGTATTAACCTGTCCTTACTGTTATCACTAGAATATTAATCCTACTGTTAGCACTAGAATATTAACTGTCCTTACTGTTATCACTAGAATATTAACCTTTCCTTACTGTTACCTAGAATATTAACCTGTCCTTACTGTTATCACCAGAGTATTAACCTGTCCTTACTGTTATCATTACAGTATTAACCTGTCCTTACTGTTATCACTAGAGTATCAACCTGTCCTTACTGTTATCACCAGAGTATTAACCTGTCCTTACTGTTATCACTAAAGTATTAACCTGTCCTTACTGTTATCACTAGAATATTAACCTGTCCTTACTGTTATCACCAGAGTATTAACCTGTCCTTACTGTTATCACCAGAGTATTAACCTGTCCTTACTATTATCACCAGAGTATTAATATGTCCTTACTGTTATCACTAGAATGTTAATCTGTCCTTACTGTTATCACTAGAATATTAACCTGTCCTTACTATTATCACTAGAATATTAACTGTCCTTACTGTTATAACTAGAATATTAACCTTTCCTTACTGTTATCACTAGAGTATCAACCTGTCCTTACTGTTATCACCAGAGTATCAACCTGTCCTTACTGTTATCACCAGAGTATTAACCTGTCCTTACTATTATCACCAGAGTATTAATCTGTCCTTACTGTTATCACTAGAATATTAACCTGTCCTCACTGTTAGCACTAGAATATTAACTGTCCTTACTGTTATCACTAGAATATTAACCTTTCCTTACTGTTATCACTAGAATATTAACCTGTCCTTACTGTTATCACTAGAATATTAACCTGTCCTTACTGTTACCACTAGAATATTAACCTGTCCTTACTGTTATCACCAGAGTATTAACCTGTCCTTTCTGTTATCACTAGAGTATTAACCTGTCCTTACTGTTATCACTAGAATATTAACCTTTCCTTACTGTTATCACAAGAGTATTGACCTGTCCTTACTGTTATCACAAGAATATTAACCTGTCCTTACTGTTAGCACTAGAATATTAACCTGTCCTTACTGTTATCACTAGAGTATTAACCTGTCCTTACTGTTATCACGAGAATATTAACCTGTCCTTACTGTTATCATTACAGTATTAACCTGTCCTTACTGTTATCACCAGAGTATTAACCTGTCCTTACTGTTATCTCTAGAGTATTTTACCTGTCCTTACTGTTATCACCAGAGTGTTTACCTGTCCTTACTGTTATAACTAGAATTCTAACTTGTCGTTACTGTTAGCACTAGAATCCTATCCTATCCTTATTGCTATAATTTAACTCCTTATCAGTCCTTGCTGTTATATAACCTATATAACCTATCCTTACCATTATCACTTGAAACCTAACCTGCCGTTATAGTAATCACTAGAATCCACATTTTCCCTAACTGCTATCACCAGAGGTTAAATCTCTCCTAACCAATCATGTACATTCTTATCCTGTTATTACCACTTGTCAATGGGTATCCGAACTTGTATATTTCTTAGTGTTAATCAAGATCTTAGCCTGTGTTTTGTTGTTATACAGGTTAGGGGCTTGACACTGGTATGGTGTCTAATACAACATACATGTGTTATACAGGTTAGGGGCCTGACACTGGTATGGTGTCTAATACCACATACATGTGTTATACAGGTTAGGGGCCTGACACTGGTATGGTGTCTAATACAACATACATGTGTTATACAGGTTAGGGGCCTGACACTGGTATGGTTTCTAATACAACATACATGTGTTATACAGGTTAGGGGCCTGACACTAGTATGGTGTCTAATACAACATACATGTGTTATACAAAATTGAGACAAGACACTAGTATGGTGTCTAATACAACATACATGTGTAATACAGGTTTGAGACCTGACACTAGTATGGTTTCTAATACAACATACATGTGTTATACAGGTTTGAGACCTGACACTAGTATGGTGTCTAATACAACAATGCTGATGAAAGGTTTGACCTTGCCAATTAAAGAAATGACCATGCTGACAAAAGGATTGACCTTGCTGATGAAAGAAATGACCTTCTTAATGAAAGGATTGACCTTGTTGGTGTACCAGGTGTATGAAAGGGAATTGTACTGGTGTACGTACTGTATCAGCACTATGTAGGAGATATCAGCACTATGTAGGAGATATCAGCACTAGGTAGGAGGTAAAAGATATCAGCACTAGGTAGGAGATAACGGCACTAAGTAGTAGATATCAGTACTAGGTAGGAGATATCAGCTCTATGTAGGAGATATCAGTGTAGGAGAAATCAGCACTAGGTAGGAGATATCAGCACTATGTAGGAGATATCAGCACTAGGTAGGAGATATCAGTACTATGTAGGAGATATCAGTACTAGGTAGGAGATATCAGTACTGTGTAGGAGATATCAGCACTAGGTAGGAGATATCAGCACTATGTAGGAGATATCAGTACTAGGAAGGATATATCAGCACTAGGTAGGAGATATCATCACTAGGTAGGAGATATCAGTACGATGTAGGAGATATCAGCTCTATATATGAGATATCAGCACTAGGTAGGAGATATCAGCACTATATAGGAGACATCAGCACTAGGTAGGGTGTATCAGCACTAGGTAGGAGATATCAACACTATGTAGGAGATATCAGCACTATATAGGAGATATCAGTACTATGTAGGAGATATCAGCGTAGGAGATAGCAGCACTATGTAGGAGATATCAGCACTAGGTAGGAGATATCAGTGCTATATAGGAGATATCAGTACTATGTAGTAGATATCAGCACTATATAGGAGATATCAGCACTAGGTAGGAGATATCAGCACGATCAGCACTAGGTAGGAGATATCAGTACTATGTAGGAGATATCAGCACTAAGTAGGAGATATCAGTACGATGTAGGAGATATCAGCACTAGGTAGGAGATATCAGCACTAAGTAGGAGATATCAGCACTAGGTAGGAGATATCAGTACTAGGTAGGAGATATCAGCTTTAATCACTTACCAACAGCATACTTTTCCTTCCTTAACTTCTCATTCTCCTTCAGTAGTGTTTCAATCAAAGTGTTTTGTTTTTGTGTCTGAAATTTTTCACAGAAATAAAATTAAAATCTTACAATAATTTAATTTCAACAGAATTTTAAATAAAATGAAAAAAAGAATAATTATCTTTATTTTATAAGTCTTCTCCTGTTACTAGTAAATATATAGTTTTTATTCTAAATTTCATATTCCAAAGATTAAAAAAAATCTGATATCAAGATTATGTAAACTATATAATGACTATAGACATAATAATTTATAGAAATATCATGTTTTGAAATGGTTTAAAGTTATGATAATCATTACATTTTTTTGAAACATTTTCTACAGAGGTAGCATAAATGTCATTCTGATGACACTTAAAAAATCAATGCATTTTGATTAGATACCACATGTTATTCTGATTAAACTTACCATTGCTTTTAGTTGAAGGATTTCATGTTTCATCCTCATCACCACAGATACTTGGTTCTGATAAACCTCCACAGTTTTTTCTTTCCTAAGATGATAAATAAATACGGTCTTTGATACTTTCATTTCTTTCAATTGAGAATTTGAAATAGTGATCTCGAAACTAAACATGGATGAGAAAGCATCAACAAAAACCTAGCACATGAAAATTTTATAAGATAATTTGTCCAAATCCAATATACATATGCATTCTTTTGTTGACGTTTTTTCCGATTGTATCCAAAACTGAGTATCAAATACTAGGAACTGAGGAAAAGCAATTGGGACGGGGAGGAGAGGGGGAAGGAATGGGGGGAAAATCCTAGATCTGCCCCTGCAAACTGCTTACAGAGTTTCTCAGCAGCAATATGTCCATTGTTGCACTTAATAAGATACTAAGATAAGGACAAAAGTGGCATTGTCCTCTTGATCACTTTCAATCAAGTTGAACGTGTTTAGATAAAATGCAACAATTCAAATAGATCTCAATACATATGTAGAAAATTTGTGCAGAGGTCACATCTGCCATGTACATGCAAGTGAAACAATAAACATCTACAGTAGTGTGTGTAATATGCACTTTCCAAGATATCAAAATATTCTACTAAACATGATCTGAACTGTCCTTTTAAGTAAGAGTTATTTCCCTTTAAAAAATTAACATCAATTTTTGTTTTTTTAACTGAAACTTACCATTTGTTAAATTCCTGTTCTAATTCAAACACTTCAAAACCTGGTATCTTTACTGTGCTCAGAAGACTATGTCCTGGAAGGAAAGAGAGAAAGGTGAGCAATTTTGAACATTACCATCAAAAACCTCTGCTGGCTGTAGGGACTCGGATCTGATATCAAATTAGCCTCCACCTGCTAACTATAAGCAAATTTTACACAGCTGTAAAATTTATGTGACAACATTTCTAGTATATATAATAAACTTTATTTATTTCACAACAATTGCGAAACAAGTTATGTCAACTTATACTAATCACTCTTGTTGGCCTGGATGTAAGCGCCCGAGGGGTCTTCTTGTGGGAGGAAACCGGAGTACCCGGGGAAAACCCACGTGATCAGGCAGGTGACCCTTTACCTTTTCACGTCTGTTCCGGGAATCGAACCCTGGTCGGCTAGGTGAAAGGCGAGTGCGTTACCACTGCGCCATCCGACCACCACATTTCTAGTGAGATCTAGATATACATTTCAATGACATTGGAAATATTGATAATTAGTTATTAAGTTAAGTGTTTTAAACTTACAAGATATTGTTATTCAAGATGCAAGGCTACATAGGGTAGGACTTTTTGACTCAAAATACATTCAAATATACTCATTTAGTCAAATGTACAAACATGTACTTAAATACACCTAGAATTCACACAATTACCCTCATTTTGTGCCTTATGTGCCCATTACAGGCCTGATCGTTGCTGTAATAGATTCGCAACGGTTTGTGAAAATGTGTTTTTAACAAGGGGTCTAGAAGGATCACACCATTGATTCACAACATACAACTATAACATAATTATAATTATATATATATATGTATGTGCCCCTGAACTGTATGAAGTAATTAAAACACAACTAAGAAAAAAAATTTGACTCTCAAAATTTATTGAACAAAATATAGTGAAAAATGTGAAAAAAAAAATTTAACACAGAATCTTTCAGTGTTGTACATATTTTTGGTGTTTTCATATCATATATTAAAATGATATGTTTATGACCAAAAATTAAAAGGTTTAACCAATAATTTTGTGCATAACATACATCATACCTTATATATATTGGATAAATAATTTGTGGTGATGTTAATATGCTTAATCCAGAGATTGATTAAAAAAAATATATATATAAAAATATCTACACACTTCTCAAGTATGAAATTTCAAAATGTCAAGTGTTCAAGATCAAATCTACAACAAAATTGAAATGGATGAAAATGTCAGTTTTAGAGGCTGTAACATTCAAACCTAACCAGTATGTACATATAACTAGGAAGTTATATCCCTTGAAACAATCTATCATACATTTTAAGAAATTGTCATAAACAAATAGATGTGTAGTTTGTTATATTATGCATTTTTCATTAAGAGCCGAGCTAGCAAACTCCATTAATGTTTCTTCCTAGTAAGGTTTACAAAGAACAATGAGAGGAAGGAAAACGAAAAACCAATTTCAATTTCTCAACATGAGAGATTTTCACCCCCATGGAATATACAGTAATGTATGTAGGTTCCCCTCTGTCCCTAGTTATGTCTTTTCAGTTTTTAATGTGATCAGTGAAACAAAATGGACTACAGGTGAAAAGAAAACACTACTGGCATGGTCAATTCATTTCCGAGAAATAGTAGTTTGCAGTCACATTGAAACAAGTAAGCACAGTAAAATATCAGAAAAAAATCTTTTCATAACTTGGCAATTTTCATTTGAATCAACTTTTGAAAATTAACTGCTTTTAAAAAATTGCATTTATTATTTTACAGTAGTTTAATATTTAAACATGACATGAAAATATCCATGGTGTCTGCATGCTGTTAATTGAAATAAGTTTTTTAATGGTTATGGTGGGGTGCTGTTTGAGATTAAATAGACATGGATGAGTGTATTTTGCATTTTCATTATAATGACAGAGTGGGATAGATGACTAAAAAAAATCGTATAATTCTTGCTTTTAAACAAAGTTTCAATGACTTCATATAAATGTTCAACTGATAATATCATGGATGGTCATTACAGTCTCTATTAGTAATCAATAATGGCACAAGAGTTGTTCCCCTTAGGTCTCTTGTTTGAAAAAAAATCTTTTCCACATATAGGTAACCTCCTGGTAGTCTGATACTGTAATACTTAAACCTGATGGCTGCATTAATCCCGAATTGAGCTTATTTGAGTGAACTTTAGGTATATTGGAGTGGGTTTTTTTTGTGTATTTAAGTGTATTTGAGTATATTTGAGTAAAAAGTAAAATCCGGCAACATCGGCATGTGTCCGTGTTAGTGGGCCTAATCTTGTAGTTATGTCGGAGTTTTAAGGGACCTTCAAAGATTTTTGGTGGATTCTTTATAAAAGTTTAAGATTTTTTCGTCTTTAGATAAAATATCCATTAACATATAAATCTGGTGATATCTATTAAGTATATATGCCAATACGTTACAGAAAACTTTGGAAGCGTTGGTATGAGTTATCTCCCCTGATTGCCGTATCACTTAAATTTATTATTTTTTTCTTTATTTCAGTTTATGGTCCGTATTTAACAATTAAAATAATTTTCAAATTCGTACTTTATCATTTGAAATATAATTTTGGAAAATAATCAAAACATTTAATAAATGTAAGACTTAATGATATTAAGAAATGTTCTTGAAGTAAGTAAGATCGTTTACTTCTATTTTATACCCAGGATGTACAGCTGAACAACCATAGACGACGGACGTTGCGCCATGGCTATTCCCACTACGGGCCTAATCGCTCACCTGGTAATAGTTAATGTTATAACGTAAATTTCTTGAGCCTGCAACCGCAGGTAACATTATGAAAGACTCTTAAGTTTGATATTTCTCAACAGACATCATCAGGAAAGCTACTTTTATACTATGTTCTGGCTGTAACCACATCTAACAGGTGTTTGTACAGACAGACTTGCAATTATTAGTGTTTATATTATATTTCAGCAAAAAGTTGCAAAACTTGTATATCCCTAACAACTATACATAATTTGCATGTTAAATATCAAATAATTATTTGTTAAGGAAATTCTATTTACCTGAAAAACCTGGCAGGTAACACATCAGAGTACAGTTGGTAAACTGTTCTGCAAGCTCGCTGCAAACAAATAAAAAACTCTCTTACCGACAAGTCAACAGCATCAGCATGTTTTATTTATGACGACTGACAAGATGACAAAATATTTATGAAAATACCAGTCGTATCTCATGTACATTCATATGTATATTGTATTTTTGATAACATTTGCAACAAGTGACTATTCATTCTGTCACACAAATTTCAAATGCCATAAAAACTGACCTCCATCTGCTGTTGAGAACTACATCATCAGAGAAACCGAAGTGCTGGAAGAACTCCACGGCAGCATTGTCAGCGTGTACCACAATAGCATCATAATGGCCCACCACACCTGGGTCTATAACTTGCTGTAAAAACAACAATTGTGTGATGATCACCTCAAGTTCCTGGCATACCTAACATATCTACAACCTGTGAGCTTAGATCATGTAATTTCAACACAAACATAGCCCCACATTACAATGAAATTGGGAATGATACAGGAAATATCAAAATATCAATTTGTGGGGAAACATGATTTTTTTTTATAATTTGCTATAAAAGATAAAAAAACTGAATGGAGAATAGAAATGATATTTACAATGTATAAAAAAGGTCACTAGGTCACATTTATAAATTATCAGTAAATATCATGTGCCATTATACACATCATTATACAAGGTATAAATGACACAGGCAACTGTGAAAGAATGGATTTTGTTAGTAAAACTGACTTTTGTGTAACAAGTATATGTAGACTAAATCAATTTTACTACCAAATCAGTTATAGTTACCTGTAACAGGTATATAAGTGTTAATTTTGTTAGTAATAGTTACCTGTAACAGGTATATAAGTATTAATTTTGTAAGTAATAGTTACCTGTAACAGGGTATATAAGTATTAATTTTGTTAGTAATAGTTACCTGTAACAGGTATATAAGTATTAATTTTGTTAGTAACAGTATATAATAGTTACCTGTAACAGGTATATAAGTATTCATTTTGTTAGTTAGTAATAGTTACCTGTAACAGGTATATAAGTGTTAATTTTGTTAGTTAGTAATAGTTACCTGTAACAGGTATATAAGTGTTAATTTTGTCACTTAAATAAAGGTTTAACTGTAACAGGTATATAAGTTTTATTGTTGTTAGTGTTAGTTACCTGTAACAGGTATATAAGTATTAATTTTGTTAGTAATATTTACCTGTAACAGGTATATAAGTATTAATTTTGTTAGTGTTAGGTACCTGTAACAGGTATATAAGTATTAATTTTGTTAGTGTTAGTTACCTGTAACAGGTATATAAGTATTAATTTTGTTAGTGTTAGTTACCTGTAACAGGTATATAAGTATTAATTTTGTTAGTTAGTAATATTTACCTGTAACAGGTATATAAGTATTCATTTTGTTAGTGTTAGTTACCTGTAACAGGTATATAAGTATTAAATTTGTTAGTGTTAGTTACCTGTAACAGGTATATAAGTATTAATTTTGTTAGTAATATTTACCTGTAACAGGTATATAAGTATTAATTTTGTTAGTGTTAGGTACCTGTAACAGGTATATAAGTATTAATTTTGTTAGTGTTAGTTACCTGTAACAGGTATATAAGTATTAATTTTGTTAGTTAGTAATATTTACCTGTAACAGGTATATAAGTATTAATTTTGTTAGTAATATTTACCTGTAACAGGTATATAAGTATTAATTTTGTTAGTAATAGTTACCTGTAACAGGTATATAAGTATTAATTTTGTTAGTGTTAGTTACCTGTAACAGGTATATAAGTATTAATATTTTTAGTGTTATTTACCTGTAACAGGTATATATTTTTTAATTTTGTTAGTTATTAATATTTACCTGTAACAGGTATATAAGTATTAATTTTGTTAGTGTAATATTTACCTGTAACAGGTATATAAGTATTAATTTTGTTAGTTAGTAATATTTACCTGTAACAGGTATATAAGTATTAATTTTGTTAGTGTTAGTTACCTGTAACAGGTATATAAGTATTAATTTTGTGAGTTAGTAATATTTACCTGTAACAGGTATATAAGTATTCATTTTGTTAGTTAGTAATATTTACCTGTAACAGGTATATAAGTATTAATTTTGTTAGTAATAGTTACCTGTATAGGGTATATAAGAATAAATATTGTTAATTAAGTAGTTGTTTACCTGTAGCAGGTATTTACCAATGCCATACTTTCTGTGTCTGTTAGTTACAGAGAGAAACAGTCGCCTGAAAACATATATAAATGACATAAATTTTGAAAAGCATCAATCATAGTTATCACCAATAACCCACACATCACCAATAACCCACCATCACACATCACCAATAACCCACCATCACACATCACCAATAACCCACCATCACACATCACCAATAACCCACCATCACACATCACCAACAACCCACCATCACACATCACCAATAACCCACCATCACACATCACCAATAATCCACCATCACACATCACCAATCACAAATGATCCACCAGCACACATCACAAATAATCCACAGCACACATCACCAATAGCCCACCATCACACATCACCAATAACCCACCAGCCCACACCACCAATTATGAAAAAATCACCAGCCCACACCACCAACTATGAAAAATCCACCAGCACACATTACCAATCATAAATAATCCACCAGCCCACATCATAAATATTCCACCAGCAAACACCACCAATGATCCACTAGCACAAATCACCAATAATCCACTAGTACAAATCACCAATAATCCACCAGCACAAATCACAAATGATCCATCAGCACACACCACCAATAATCTACCAATCCACATTTCCAATAATCCACAGCACATACCACCATAATCCACAGCACATACTACCAATAATCCACTAGCCCTCATCACAAATAATCCACCAGCACACATCACCATTAACCCACCGACTCACATCACCAATAATCCACAGCACAAATCACCATAATCCACATCCCACATCACCATAATCCACATCCCACATCACCATTAATCCACCGACTCACATCACCAATAATCCACAGCACAAATCACCAATAATCCATCAGCACGCATCACCAATAGTCCACATCCCACATCACCAATAATCCACATCCCACATCACCATAATCCACATCCCACATCACCATTAATCCACCGACTCACATCACCAATAGTCCACAGCACAAATCACCAATAATCCACAGCACAAATCACCAATAATCCACATCCCACATCACCAATAGTCCACATCCCACATCACCAATAATCCACATCCCACATCACCATAATCCACATCCCACATCACCATTAATCCACCGACTCACATCACCATTAATCCACCGACTCACATCACCATTAATCCACAGCCCACATCAACAATAATCCACATCCCACATCACCATTAATCCACCGACTCACATCACCATTAATCCACCGACTCACATCACCATTAATCCACAGCCCACATCAACAATAATCCACAGCCCACATCAACAATAATCCACAGCCCACATCAACAATAATCCACCGCCCACATCACAAATAATCTACCAGCCCACAACACTTCACAAGTACTGAACAATGTTTTTTTTATCATTTCAACACTATCTAGTTGCTACAGATTCACTTATTATCAACATTGAAATAATATTCATTTGGAAGTGTTTTACAAATCACATTAAGTTGAACTTATTTACTATACTGCAGATTATTGAGCAGCCATCAGTGAAGGCTGTATACTTACACATATTTCTTTTCAAATGTGACACAGCCAATGATGCGATTCTCTATCCCAACCTGATCCTCTTGTATTTCTTTGGCCTCAGATTGTCTCCCTTTCCTCCTTTCAACTGTCTTTTTAATGAATGTGTTTATTCCCTTTGAGAAATCTTCTTCATCACTAAAAACAGATGTCAATAAAAATCTTAATTTTTTTGTCTACTTATCTTGACACAATCCATATCGACTAAGAAAGTTCCCTTCCAGCCATAATTCCCACAAGTACAACCCTGGTCAATTCCAATATCACATAGTACTTACTCTAATTAAGTGTTAATGTTATCAATGCCATTCAATCAGAAGCCTTGAAACCAAACAGCCTCGTCAGATTTGATTATCAAAGTTGAATTAGAAGTCATATTTTTTTCCTGAAAGAGCAGCCTTTATTTTTTATAATTCTGTGCTTAATGTATATAACACATGGCTATGAGCTCAGGCATATCTATAAATATGTCACTGTTAAGTCAGAGGTGGTACAATGGAAATTAAGTAACGTTGGTTCGTATTGTTGCTGAACAGTTAAACATTAATATCTTTGTGGGTTTATTTCCAGGTATGGGCTTATCACAGAATAACTATAGTAATTGAGATCATAATATTTCTAACCGGAAAATGATCGTTAGCTGTAGTTTGACCTTGACACCATTGTGACCTCCTAAGTACTTACTCCTCCTCCTCTAGGTCCTCCTCCTCAGACTCTGTGTCGCTGTACACATCAGCAAATTTGCTGGGGAGCTGTTCTTCCTCCTCGTATTTGTCATCTTTCTCTCCCTCCTCCTTTTCTTCTTTTGATTTACATTCCTTGGATTCATCGTCATTTTCATTATCCTTTTCAGGATTCTTTTGACTTTTCTTCTCTTTCAATGACGTCACAGTTTCTTTGAAAATAAAAACACAATCTTATTATAACCTTTTCAATTTTACACAAGTTGTAAACAATTGTGTGTGGTTGTAAACAATTTGTCATCAATTTTGATGCCCACTGCATGAATATTTTGATATCCCTGTGTTAATTTTGAAGTGAATTGAAAGAGCATGGATTGCCTTGGTAGCCATGATTGTTAATTTTTTGGCAGGAATAGCAAAATGCAGTCAAACCTGGGCTGTAGATCTCACACTTTAGTACAGGTTTTGATTTCTACTTGAAGCGATATTTGCCAGATTTGCTGTCTCCATGATGGCAGCGTGACTTTTCCACCACCATTAGACAGTAATTGGTGTTGATGCATTTTCAAGCGGGGATAGGCAGATATGGTAATAGATTTGATATGTATTTCTTTGTGCATGCTGGTGATATATCTAGGTATAGGTGAAGGAGTGTGTTGACTTTACATATATACATATATAAATGCACTAATAATGTTTCCATGGTTAATAGACACCAAACCCAATAATTCCTGTGGAGTGTATGTGACATCATTGTACAGTTGTCTATCAGCTGGTGTTTCGACAAGTCATTGAAAGAATTCACACACATTCATACCATATTTTACTACTATGAAAAAAAGATAATACTAACCTTTGAGATCTCGCACTAGAACTATAGTTCTGGCCCATTTCTCACATACAGTGGAATACAGGACATCGGGAGTCATCTCTGACAGGGACACATCATATAGCCCTACGACAGCATGTAGCAGGTCAGTGTTGGAGATCTGATAAATAAGAGATCATTTCTCAATATCACCTTACATAGCCCTATTGTTTGTGTTTTATCAGAGTTGATGTTGTAAAACTGGAGAAGAAAAAGAATCTGAAATGATTCACATCAACAGCAACCAAGATAAAACAAAATTGACATTCTATAAACTTTTTGTAACGACTACAGACTGATGTAAAAAGTTAAAAGAACATGAACAATTCAGACTGGAGAAACCTAGAATAAAGTATATATATAAAAAAAGAAACAAAATAGAAGGAGAGAAAATCGAGTATTTGCAGGTCTGGAAATACTGTCTTTACATTGTATAGCGGTGGGAATAGTGGGGAGGGAGACTGTGGAAAAAGTACATGTGGTTTCTGAAGTTCTGAAAATCTTTCAGGGGGGACCAATGATAAATATATATTTTTTGGTACATCTAGATCTGATAGCATGTAAATTAGATCGAAACTTTGTCCATGTGAGATATTATTCTTAAACAGGAACGGAGACATTATTGGAAGAAGAAATCAAGCCTTTATATTCTCATTTCTTAAGTATTTACTTCACAGTGATTCTCTGCACAATACTAGCGTCAAAAAACCTGCTATACAGGACATACAGCTAAGTAACGGCAGTCGAACGATACTCCAAGATATGCACATTACATGCAGTTAATGAATGGTTTAGGGCTTTATGATTAATTTACATCGTCTAACAGTAGATCGTTGTACTCAACTTACCCCAGGAATGATGCCTTGATCGCCTGTCAGGGCAGCAGATGTGTTGCTGGGACACAACTGAACCAGCCTCCTCAAATCCACCAACACTGGATAGGCTGTAATCAGGTTTCCTGCCTTGTTGGTAAATGTCTGCTTGTCTGCAAGCTGTGCCCCAGGACGACTAAAGGTGTCGTCCATGGTTTCATGTGCAGAACGAAGATCTGTCAAGGCATTTTTGAAAGCGATGATATCTACCGAGTCGAACGCGTCGAGGCCTGCCTGCCTCTCCGCCATAATGTCAACAAAACAGTCCTGCAGTGAATAGTCATAACTAAGTTACGAACCAATAATTATTGTGACGGACCGGATCCTGCTGAATTATATAATTGATAATTTTGCACATAAATGTACATATCCTTTCGACAAATCATTTTCTAAAAAAGCGATGAGTTATGGACTTTATTGACTTGGAACAAATCAAAAGAAATAATGTAACTGTATTTATTTTCTTCTGAAAAAAAACCAACACGAAATTAATATGTGAATATCATGTACTGTTTTTTAAACTAATATATCAAGTGACTTTTTTTTAAAAAATCCATACTTCGTTACGTTGAGGTGAAATTAGCCAGCTGCGATTTAAGTAAGCATTAAGATCAAGGTAAAGAAACATAGGTATATAAAAACGCGACAGATGAGATCACTCATTAACCAAAGTTAAGACAAACCGGAATATTTATTCCTAGCCTGAACGAACGTTTGATGACGTATGAAATGAGCCCAATTAATAGCGTGAGAGGTGAATCATTTGATGACGTGTGGAATTGGCCCTTTCATGAGAGTAACAGGGAACCCATTGATGACATGTGAAATGAGCCCTTTCGTTAGAGTAACAGGGAACCCATTGGTGACGTATGAAATGAGCCCTTTCATTAGAGTAACAGGGAACCCATTGATGACGTGTGAAATGAGCCCTTTCATTAGAGTAACAGAGAGCCCATTGAAGACGTGTGAAACGAGCCCTTTCATTAGAGTAACAGGGAACGCATTGAAGACGTATGAAATGAGCCCTTTCTTTAGAGTAACAGGGAACCCATTGCGATGTGTGTGAAGTGTGAGGCGAGCCCAACAGGAACCCATTGATGACGTGTAACAGGTAACAGAGAGCCCATTGATGATGAAAAGCCCTTTCTTTATAGGCGTTAGAGGGAAGGTCATTGACGATGTGTAAGGTGAGCCCCGTTAAAATCGTGAGAGGGAAATCCGTTGATGACATGTGAAATAAGCCCTTTCATTAGAGTAACAGAGAACCCATTGAAGACGTATGAAATGAGCCCTTTCTTTAGAGTAACAGAGAACCCATTGAAGACGTGTGAAATGAGCCCTTTCTTTAGAGTAACAGGGAACCCATTGATGACGTGTGAAATGAGCCCTTTCATTAGAGTAACAGAGAGCCCATTGAAGACGTGTGAAACGAGCCCTTTCATTAGAGTAACAGGGAACGCATTGAAGACGTATGAAATGAGCCCTTTCTTTAGAGTAACAGGGAACCCATTGATGAAGTGTGAGGCGAGCCCAACTATAGGCGTTAGAGGGAAGGTCATTGACGATGTGCAAGAAGAGCTCCATTAAAAGCGAGAGAGGGAAGTCATTGGTGATGTTTGAATTGAGCCCCATTATTAGCGTGAGATGGAAACACATTGATACGTAATGTGAGCTCTATTGATAATGCGGGAGGAGAACACATCGATGACGTGTAAGATGAGACCCATGAGATGAGGCTTAACAGGGGAACACATTGATCACGAGTAGGCGAGCCTCGCTGTTAGCGTAGGAGGGGAACCCATTAATGACGTAAAAAGTTGAACTATATAAAAAAAAAACGTAAGAGGGTAATTACATGCACGGAATGGACAGTGAATCTCCGCACTGACAGTGACCAATCAATTATATATAAAATCCTAACACATTCTATCATATTTCTAAGAAGGCAAACATACATATATGTAATTTATCTATACTGACAACGGGGAGCTGTCTGGCAAGCGTGTGAAATAGCTTGTCTAATGTTATTTAATATCTTCTGACAAACTAATGGTATCCAAGACCACGGATCCATACAAAGGACCATATTTAATATCGTCTATGATGTAGCTGGCAAATATAATATAATACCGAGGACGATACGCCGACTTAACAAAAGATTCCATATCAATGCTTTTTCGTTGACAGTTATTGATATGTAGTTAAATTAGCACTTATAAACATATCGATCTACTGGACGGTTTTCAGGTGTGTACTTAAAGCACACATTGCAACTTCGACAATGGACCTTACCTTTCCGTGTGTTCAATAAAGTATCACAGTTCACCAGCGCCTCATGATCAGTATTGCAATAATGGCAGTGCCTCCATTTTTATGACGTAGCTTTAATGTGTTTTTTTTTGTGTTTGAACACAAAGCTTTATTTCAAAATAGTAGGAAGAACGGATATGGATTAGATAATCGATTAAAGCCGGAAGCTGGCTGATAAAATGGACTTTGATATTGCTCTTCTGAAAGTTTATCATGCAGAAACAACCGAGGTTATCGTCTAAATTCCTGGCCAATAGAGAGTTTCCCGTATAATGACAAAGTCTGGCAAAAAGGGATCAAATTTTCATTACCTGTTATTACACATGTATAATGATCACCTGTGTGTCACCTGTAGGTTATATAATGATCATCGTTCTGTCAGATGTAGGTTATACAATGATCATCGTTCTGTCACCTGTAGGTTATATAATGATCATCGCTCTGTCACCTGTAGATTATATAATGGTCAGGGTTCTGTCACCTGTAGATTATATAATGGTCAGGGTTCTGTCACCTGTAGGTTATATAATGATCACCTGTCTGTCACCTGTAGATTATATAATGGTCAGGGTTCTGTCACCTGTAGATTATATAATGATCAGGGTTCTGTCACCTGTAGGTTATATAATGATCACCTGTCTGTCACCTGTAGGTTATATAATGATCACCTGTCTGTCACCTGTAGATTATATAATGGTCAGGGTTCTGTCACCTGTAGGTTATATAATGATCAGGGATCTGTCACCTGTAGGTTATGTGATGATCACCTGTCTGTCACATGTAGGTTATACAATGATCATCGTTCTGTCACCTGTATATTATATAATGATCATCGTTCTGTCACCTGTAGGTTATATAATGATCATCGTTCTGTCACCTGTAGGTTATATAATGATCACCTGTCTGTCACCTGTAGGTTATATAATGATCACCTGTCTGTCACCTGTAGGTTATATAATGATCACCTGTCTGTCACCTGTAGGTTATATAATGATCACCTTGTAAGTTATATAATGGTCAGGGTTCTGTCACCTGTAGGTTATATAATGATCACCTGTCTATCACCTGTAGGTTATGTAATGATCATCGTTCTGTCACCTGTAGGTTATATAATAATCACCTGTCTGTCACCTGTAAGTTATATAATGATCATTGCTCTGTCACCTGTAGGTTATATCATGATCAGGGATCTGTCACCTGCATGTTATATATATGTTTACTAATTACCTGTCTGTCACCTTTTTATTGAATCATTGTGTATTTGTAATTGAACTTCATCGGAATTCTGATATCAAAGTGGCGGCTTTCTCGAAACTATACATAATACAATGTCAGGTTAATTACTTAGCCCTGTTGGATACTGTAGTAATAAATCAACGCATTTCATTCCAATAACTTTACAATTGGTTGTGTTACTATGTATGAACGGAGGGGACATTAACAGTCCGTCAATGTTTTAATTTCCATTGAAATGCCCCCTCCGTTGCCGCTCAGTTTCATTTTAAAGTCAATATTTCTATGTTCGCTGTATAATAGGATGTAAATTCAATTTTTTTTTGAGTTGAGGTATAATTGTCATTATGATAAATGTAACACGGAAACAAGAAAATCAGCTAGGAAATTGTATCATGTTATCATGGCACCACACTCGCTTACTCAACAACGTTCTCACAGATATTACAAAAAAATACACGATTGACAATTCCCAAGATCAAAGATTTATTTTCGGACTTAAAACTACAAAATTGTAGCCAAAATCCAAAACAAGATACAATCAATACGATTTAACAAGTTGTTTTAAAACTTTTAAGACCAATTAATTTACATTTGAATGATTTTGCAAAAAAAAAATAAAAAAAAAAAAAAAAAGAAAGAAAAAAAGGATTGTTTCGGAGAATTATGCTGACTTAAAAAAACCTAATAATATTTAAGATAAATGAAGTAGTAACACCTATCCTACAACACATGTACATTGTAACCAGGGCGACTTGGTATTATTTTTAACAGAAATACTTCAGACGTTCCCCTAAGGAGACCAGTTACATACACTCATTATGCATAATATTGTCTTTAAATTTCTTTAAAAAAGATAGATAAATAAATTAATGAATAAATAGATAAAATTAATAACGGATTTATTTTTTTAAAGTTTATCAAAAATCTCGGTGTGTGAATCATTTTCATTAAAGTGAACGGTTTTTTAAATAGTATGCACTCGGACGTGTTAGATCATCAATATACCGGATGACACGCTCCATTGAGTTGTTTACGTGGACGGCTCATAGGAAAATAATGTAAATTAACATAAAGGTAAACAATCAGTTAACAGGTAATTAATTACTAAACCATTAACTTAATACGTGAAAAAGTAGGAGCATTGGAACGTTACAGTAATATTTAATTAACACAATTTAAAACACATTTAAATGCCATACATGTACATATAACTACAATACAGTTTTTAATGGATTTTTACTGTTTCTGTTGGAAATGGTAGATCCGAAACTCATAACGATGTCAGGTTTTCTTATAAGCACGAAAATGTTTAACTTTTTTATTCAGGTTTTCACTTTGCCTCCGTACTAGTTGAAGGCGCTTGGACTTGGCTTCCCTAAACTTGTCTAAATAATCTTCATACTCGTCTTTAGACAGAATTAACTGACCTTCCGGAGTGGTCATTCCCATCTCATAAGTTGACAATGACTTGATGTCCGGAGTAGGAACTGATATGGAGAGTGAAGTAAGCGATTTTGATGTATTATACTTTCCAGCCAATCTTTGGAACGCAATATCCGAAATTTCGGAAATAGTGTCCTCTTCTTCGGAAAATGAATAACCTCGAGCTGACTGTCCAGGTTTTATCTGCGGGAATGTTGCCTCGGAAGACTTTCTTACCAATTTTGGAGTAGTGTGTTCCCTAAACAACGATGCTTTGGGTGAGGAATTTTCTTCTTTGCTTACGTCTTCAACCTGTTCCCTAGACATAAATGATGACGTATCAATGTACGTGACGTCATCACTAAATGTCGTCCTTGACCTTCGATATCCACTCTTACACCCTTGCAGTGATCTTCCTTTGTAAGACAATTCGATTTTCGCGCTTAACGGCTTGGCATCATCGCTCTCTTGAAGTACTTCTTTGACAGACGATAACGTTGTTTCCTTGGAAACCAGACGAGTATTCGAGGTCTCCTTGGCAACTGGTTTATTCCTTGGCATTTCCTTTGACACTACACGAGACGGCGCACTCTTTGTGTGTTTAGGCGTTAAAACTGTTCCTTCCGTTACCATAGATACATGTTTCTCCTTCGCCTGACTTTTAATTCCACCAATCATCAGCGGGGACGACTTTTCCTCAGCAAGTTTGTTTCGCTGAGCCACTTTTTCCAGCATTTTTGTTAAGAAAACATTTCTTTGTTTTTGAAAAGATGAAATCTGCATCTTCTCAGCTTGTTCCAAAGACCTTATTCGTTTGTGCAGTTTATGTTTTAAATCAAACTGAATCTGATACAGACTTCGAGACCGCATCATTTCATAAACTTCGTGTTCGTGCAAAAAACGACCCTGGTCCGAAAACTGGATATGAAACATGAATTTAGACATTTTGAATTCGGGTTTTGTTCCTTGTTGGTGTCTTTAATTTAAAACAAGTTTGGTGTAAAGTAGATATCCGACAAGAATATGAAGATCGTTATGAAAAGAGTATCCTTGACATCCTGTCGTTTTTTATTGCCAGATCCACTTGTGTGCAGACATTTACCTTGTCTGTCACCAAGTTATAATGCCAGCACAGACAGGTCGCTGCAAAAATCCAATATCTTAATAAGTCTTTATGCTTACCTTCTGTTTCATACGATCGTTCTACCGAACTAACTTCGGAATTTGTATGTTGTATCGTAGATAGAAAATGGTCCACACAGCTCAATGTGTCTTTTCAAAATCAATCGATATGATCGCGGTTACCGGGGAGAAACGTCCACAAATAAATTATCAAATTATTCAAGTATCAATGTCCCAAATTTTTTTTCAGTAATCAGCTTACAACCGCCGGTAGAGAGTCACACTACCAATAATCGATGTTCTCTCCATACCCTCTGTCATGCGATGTTAATTAAAACACTGATACTCTAGTTGTATAAAATATCTACTTCCAAATTTAGAAAATCACAATGATTGACAATTTCTATCCGTGTCAGGACCTGGTGTAGCGTGTTACTCACATACGTACAATTCCAATTAAGAAAATTTGCGAAATCTTAGATAAACTGCGTTTGTGTCACTTCACAAAAAGTGCGTGACTGTCGACATTATCAGCTCTAATCTGTCTTGTTTTGACTGTCGCTGATATTATCTCGAAAATTCCCGAAATTGTCAAACACTCTAATACCTGTATGCTGGTAACGCTGTCAAAGCACCGCGAATGATCCTTCCTGAAGCAATTTACTCCTATTAATGATATGTAGATCACGAAGCCACACGAGTTTATACTGCCGATGCCAATGACGTGGGACGTTTTAATCCACTTGTGTTCAATTAGTCTGTGTTTGTTCAATGACAGGTGTTTGACGAATCCTTTACCATGTAAAAGGCGATGTACTTAGAATAACGATGTCAGCTTTCGGCTGACTAGGGAACCTTACCTTGGAAGGTTAACATGTCTCACTACATATGAAACATCTGGGACCATGACCGCAGCTCAAATATTTTAACACACACATAAACACGACAGAGAGTAATTGATCTCCTTTAAGCGTTTAAAATAATAGCGCGACGATTTCTATCCGCACTGTAGAGTGTACTCAGACAGGGTAATATAGAAGTGATGTTTACTTTTCTATCAAGCGTAAATATGCCATTGATTGTAACGAATATATGTGACATAAACGTGCCCCATTAAGTACTAATTAATACTGACTACTGATGTAACAAGCTATTTACTGTATCCTTAGGTTACGTCACATCTGTAACAAACAAAGTCACGGGTGGGATACCGTCACGTCTGTACCAAACAAAGTCACGGGTGGGTTACCGTCACGTCTGTACAAGGCGGGTTACCGTCACATTTGTACCAGGTAAGTTACCGTCACATCTATACCAAACAAAGGCACGGGTGGGTTACCGTCACGTCTGTACAAGGCGGGTTACCGTCACATTTGTACCAGGTAAGTTACCGTCACATCTGTACCAGGTAAGTTACCGTCACATCTGTACCAGGTAAGTTACCGTCACATCTGTACCAGGTAAGTTACCGTCACATCTGTACCAGGTAAAGTTACTTATGTGGTTGGTCACCGTCACATATGTACCAGGTAAGTTACCGTCACATCTGTACAAGGTAAGTTACCGTCACATCTGTACCAGACACAGTCAGTGGTGTGTTACCGTCACATTTTGACCCGACAAAGTTAGTGGTTGGTCACCGTCACATCTGAACCTGGTGGGTACTTTTACTGATGATGTAAGCTACCGTCATATTTATACCAAATCAATTCACTGATGGGTTACCGTCACTTATGTACCATACAGAGGTAACAGTGGGTTACCGTCACATCTGTACCATACAGAGTTCGTGGTGGGTTACCGTGACATCTGTACCATACAAAAGTACCAGTGGGTTATCGTCACATCTGTACCATACAGAAGTACCAGTGGGTTACCGTCACATCTGTACCATATAGAGGTACCAGTGGGTTACCGTCACATCTGTACCATATAGAGGTACCAGTGGGTTACCGTCACATCTGTACCATACAGAGGTACCAGTGGGTTACCGTCACATCTGTACCATACAGAGGTACCAGTGGGTTACCGTCACATCTGTACCATACAGAGGTACCAGTTGGTTACCGTCACATCTGTAATAACCGGGTTGTCGTCACATCGGTACAATTACAATTTTACAATATTGTGAATACCCGAAAAAAGATTTTAAAGCTGGTACACATGGAACAGACTTTACCTTTGTAACAAAATGATTATTAACGCATTTGTTTATTTGTTTTCAGGTTGGATACAAGTCTCGCGATAGAAACAGACATATCAGGAGAACGAGTATGTACAGATACATTATTACATGTGCAAACCCTACTGCTGTCTTGACGTTGTAACCTCGCCTGGCTTGGGGCTAGACTGGGTTTGTTACACCGACTGTAACGGACAGGTATACTGTGAACAACTTCATAAGTTTACCTTGTGTATAGTTAATTGTGATAATCTACATTCATATTTACAATAATTAATTCTTTACAGCGTTATAATCGACGCATGAACAGTGATAGAAATTCTGTAACAGTTCAAGGTCACGTGACATGGTAATTTGCCGGTTAACAGTACATGTATACAATACAGTCATATAAACTCGAAAATTTTCTTCACTTCACCATTGTGTTTGTAATAATTCAATAAAACTACCGCTGTTGTTATCGTAATTGAATACAGTGTGAATAGTGAATGATACTTAAAACACGTGCCTGGTTACACCCAGATTTAAATAAATAATGCTTTTGACAATCTTCTCGTATAATCAAATGTGAATTAAAAGGATTTCGATATGTGTTTTTTTTATAATAAAAAAAAATATAAAAAAATACAGGTGCAATCACAAGCTGAATTAAAAGGTTATGTTAAGTCGGTACGTCATGGAAAATCCTGTTCAATTGTATGCAGAGAAATTGATTACAATGACACATCCTGTTTAGAATCTAATAATCTAGAATTCCGATGATTGTACATGAAGCAAAGCACTAGGATAAGTCACATTTATAAACTTAGAATATCGATTGTATTATTACATTATATTGTATAGAATCGTGTACATTTTATCACACGCGGAAACATGAAACGCTAATTTTAAAGCCGTTGTATATTTGTTCTATACGTTGTAGTGGACACAGGTCAGATGTGTCCGGAGGGGCGAATTAGCTTAGATGGATCGACCTGTGTTTAAAATGACATTTGCTTATTGCCTGTATTGGTCCAACTGACACACGCACATTAATATTAAAATGCATCATGTTGTGATAGGTTTGACCATTCATCTTCAACAGACAACATATCAAACGAGAGTCTATATATCATATGTCCAGTTTTACTTTGTTTTAGAAATGAAAACTGACCACGTACAGGAAGGAGTCGTCTTCATTATGAAAGCTTACTAACAGGTCTGAATGTCTGTATTCTACTCTTACTTATTTTCCTATTTTTTTCTCGTCCGCTGAAAAGCCGAAATTTCGTAATAGTGGATGTAAAACATGTTAAATGAATGAATAATTAAGGAAATTTACATGTCTGTTGCATTCTACTACCCGTCTCAACTTAACGAAATTATCTGACATAATATATAGCGATATAGATACAGCTAGTTTGTCAAAGTCTCCATAGAACAATAGGGCATGACAAACATCTGATAACGCAAGCTTATTATGATAAAGTTAGAAAACAACTGTTGGAATTCTTCCGGAATCATTATTTATCAAAACACTACTCGACCAATCCTAAATAAAAATATCACATGTCCTACCACGTTAAAATCAATACCAACACAGTTCCTACCACGTAAAAATCAATACCATCACAGTTCCTACCACGTAAAAATCAATACTATCACAGTCCCTACCACGTAAAAATCAATACCATCACAGTTCCTACCACGTAAAAATCAATACCAACACAGTTCCTACCACGTAAAAATCAATACCATCACAGTTCCTACCACGTAAAAATCAATAGTATCACAGTTCCTACCACGTAAAAATCAATAGTATCACAGTTCCTACCACGTAGAAATCAATACCATCACAGTTCCTACCACGTAAAAATCAACACTGTCACAGTTCCTACCACGTAAAAATCAATACCATCACAGTTCCTACCACGTAAAAATCAATACCATCACAGTTCCTACCACGTAAAAATCAATACCATCACAGTTCCTACCACATAAAAATCAATACCATCACAGTTCCTACCACGTAAAAATCAATACCATCACAGTTCCTACCACGTAAAAATCAATACCAACACAGTTCCTACCACGTAAAAATCAATACCATCACAGTTCCTACCACGTAACCACGTAAAAATCAATACTATCACAGTTCCTACCACGTAAAAATCCATATCATCACAGTTCCTACCACGTAAAAATCAATACTATCTCATGGACAGCCACCAATAAATGCATGTTTGTATTTACGTCCTTTTTGTGATGAACGGCCAATCTCAGTAACATCTGTTGTATTACTGGTTGTTTAAATTTTTGAGGTTTGACTGGTTTTAGAACAATAAATATGTACATCAAAGAGAGCCATATACAGAATATTACGTGTCAGTGTAACATGAAATTTGTTAAAGGTAGTCAGCAATGTGATGCATCACAAGTCTTTATGTACTCGGCAATGCTAATAAAGACCAATCAAGCGAAGTCTATGTCGAGTTTTATTACAGTAAAGTATTTAGTTATATTTAATAGAAGATTTCACGTCTATGTCGAGTTTTATTACAGTAAAGTATTTAGTTATATCTAATAGAAGACTTCACGTCTATGTCGAGTTTTATTACTGTAAAGTATTTAGTTATATCTAACAGAAGACTTCACGTCTATG